TGCGCCCTCGGCTCCCTCTGCGCCCTCTGCACCCTCGGCTCCCTCTGCACCCTCGGCCCTCGTCTCCCTCCTCCCTCGCTGCCACAGCTGCTCCTCTCCCGCCGCCGTCGCTTCATCTGCTGCTTTTGTGACGTTTCATCACTACCTCAGTATTTAAGCTCCTGGTTTTTCATGGCTCATTGTGAGATTCTTTCTTTTCTTTGCCCTTGCTCCACTTTGTGGAGACCCTACAACTTTCTCCTTTTATTAAACCTTTGAAAAGCCTTTTCCAGTGGCTCTTTGCTTTGGCCCAAACAAAACATTACAGAACAAAAGAAACAACCAGTATGTGTCAGTCTGACTGGGACTGGATATTTTCTCCACTAAACTCTCATTTCTTTTCTGATGAATTGGTGGATTTTTCCACCTGAATCTGGCATCGGAGAAACATTTAAACCTCAGTGTCTGGAGGAAATCTGATGTGTTCAGATGAAAAAGTCCTGCAGGGCTTTTGTTCAAGATGGAAATAAGTAATGATAGGCCTGTTGCTTTGAATTATCTTTGCGAAATACAAAAATCTTTTGATAAAACTATAAATTGGTGTTTGTTGGTTGATTATGTGTCGGATCTTTAGAAAAGTTTTGAGATGTCAATCAGCCTCAACGCAGAGATTCAGCCCTGATGAAGTCTGACAGCCGTTTACGCTCCATCAGCTTTCAGAGGAATTTACTCATCTGAATATTGATGTTGGATTAATATATGCTCCACAGACAGTTATGAAGTGCTGCTAGCTGGATATCAGGGGTCTTAAACCGCCACTGTTCTACACTGATGCATTCTGGGTACAGGATGAAACAATCTTCACCCACTTCAAAATAAGAGCATGATTAAAAACATGTTTAAATAATTCTAAACATTCAGAAAACCAAAACTTTGACAAATATGTTTAACTTCATTCAACTGAAATTTTACAAAACAGTCAAATAAATGAAAGTCTTTAGTTTCACAGCTGCCAAAATTGCTAAAGACGTCAATGAAAAATTATCTCTGATATTAGCGGATTAACAGAAGTTAGCATGCCACTGTTCTCAACTTTGGTCATCATAAGAAAGCTGAACTGATTATGTTAAAAGTTGCCCAACCAGCTCAGAGTCGCCACCTGTTGATTGAGTTTGAAACTGCAACCAGTTAATAAAATTCTTAGTGAAAAATCCTGATGACAATGTGGAAGGTAACACTCTCCATGCCATTAAATCTCTCTCCCTGCTCAGATGTCACCAGCTACGTACTCGCTGTGTGACTGAGGTGACAAGCATCTAAAACAGAGCGTGATGGGCGTCTTGACGCCCTGCAGGGACGACGCTCTGACACTTTCCTCTGACATCTGACACATCAGCTTCACGCAGCGCTGACGCTCCTGCTCTGCTTCCCCTCTGACATGCACACACTCCTCGCTCCGCGCATGCAGAAAGGCTTCCCGCGGCCTCGCACTTGAGCATGCTCACTCATGCTTGAAGTCTCGATCCACAAACGTGGGGATTTATTTAGTCCACATTTGCATATGCTGTGCTCAGATGAACACGCATGGATCTGCAGGCAGGCGCAGATTCATGCAGACAGATAGTCGGAGGCTGCTGGCTGAAAAGAGACTCCCTGTCCATCTGCCCGTGTTTGAACCACTGAGGAGTTCTTCTGGTGTAAAGCTACGCAAGCATGAATAATTCGGTGGTTAATACACACATTCCTTCACCACTGAAGCCCCTGGTGTTTTATTTAGAGTTTCACTCTCGGTGGGGAGAGGTTTACTCAGCGCAGAACGAACAACCTCTGACTGCGTGGATAAAACAAAACATGGAGGAGAGGTCACAAATCTCAAACTCAGCTCTGGAGTCTCACATTATGTTTTATTAAATGGAAATTCTGACCTGTTAGTTCTGATATCAGACTCACTGAGGATTGCTTGGATGCAGAATTTGTTGGGATTTTCCTTTTTGTGTGCCGGGAATTCAGCTCTCATTCCCAGTAGCCATCATCAATCCGCTTTAATCCAACACCGGTCCGTTTGCCCAGAAAGTCCGGTTCAGTCGGCCCAGTTAGGATGAACCACTGGTTCGGTTTGAGTGCATATGTGAACAACAAACGAACCAGAGACTGCTCCAAAAGCAGGAAGTGGACTGCAGGGCATTCTGGGTAAATACAACCAAAACACATGCGCTAGCATAGCATTAGCGGTGGAAATGTCTCGTGGTTTTTAGCCAAAGACAAAAGAGAAATCCACTAACCGCTAAAATGTGACGCTGCTCCAGTTTTGCTTGTGAAGACGAAGGTTTTGCTCAGTGTCTTCTTCAGAGGTTTTTGTGTCGGTTTCTTCAGAAATTCTTTATGCAGCGCCCCCACAGGCGAGGAGGGGAACAGGTCCCTGAAACGCTCTGCTTGGTTTGAATCAGTTTAATGGAAAAAAAACCACAGCAGCTGGAAATGGATCAAATGTTGCAACTTTGATCCTTAATCAAACCCAGTTCACTGGACATCTGGTGTGAAAACATCCTAAATCTCAAAACTCGAGTCTCACAAACAGTTTCTGGTGTGAAACTGGAGGTGGAGCCGGAATGGGCCTCATGTTTGATCCAAACCTGAGTTTCATCATCTGCTCCTGAGAACCTGCTCATGTTGTCTGCAGTTACACAATTATGACCACAGACTCCATAACTGAATTATGATGTAATACTAAGTAAAATATATTTAATATCTTATTAAATAACCGAAGCCTTTATTTTGGAAAGATGACCTTGGTAATATTTATTGTTTAGGGGTAAGAATAAAGCAACAGAGAAACCTGCAGGTCGTCATCATGCAGCCACACAGTGAGCAACATGAGCAGAGAGATTAAAATGTGCTAATAAAAGTCATTACCGTGACAGCTAATAAAACTCCTGGAGATTAGAGCTGGACACAGAGAAGCAAGAACGTTCAGAGGAAATGGAAACAATGTGAGACGTTTTGGAATAAAAACAGTTTGTGTTGTTCTTCCATCACCAGGAAGCTTTGGGGACATAGTTGTAGGTCATTGACACATTTACTGGATCACTGTTTGCAGGTGTTGAATGAAGCAGTTTGTTTTCGCCAGTGTTTGCTGCAGTGGCTCTGCTGCAGTGCTGTAGTCTCAGTACTCTGGGGTGGGGGGTTGGACAGAAAAGGCCCGTTGCTCACAAACTGTAAATACAGCAGAGAGGCAGAGTCTGAAACTCAGATCTGGAAAAACAAAATGCTCAGTTTAACTGAGGAAGCCAGAAACCAGAGGGATTTATTTACTGGTGCTAGCTGTCCAGGCTAACTGCTGCTAGCCATTACAGGCCAATGCCACGTTGTTTATCAGATACATTCACTGGAGGGAGAAGTTCAGACATGATGGACATAAATGGGAATGCAAAACTCTTCCACCCATGGTTTTTACCCAGACACCATTTAGAAACCTATTAACCAATCAATCAATTATCAGTCCTGGTTTCGGACTGCAGGAGGAATCTGCAGAGAACTTAATCACCTTGCAGGAAGGGCCCGGGCCGGACTCAAACCCCAGACCTTCCTGCTCCCAGGCAGCCGCCTGAGGCTCCGACTCATTTCTCCAACAAAGGAAATCCAAGTCACAGAGGGAATTTCTCCACAAATAAAAGTTTTTCCTGGTAGCAGGTTCCCAACATGGAGCCTCCAGGACGTAGTTAGTGTTTTTTCTCTGTAGTGCCGGCCGGCCAGGCCCCGGCCCGGTCCGGTCCCACCCTGGTCCGGTCCGGTCCCGTCTCTTACCTGCATTTGTTAAACACTCTCTGCTGCATGCTGCAGCTCATAATGCTGCACGAGTTGCGTGTCTGACCTTCGTGTTCAGGCCAGACGCTGAATTTGTAGCAAAGGTTGCATAACTGCCAGAGCCAGACAGAGTGAAACGGTTTGAGAGAACCTTTAACCTTGGCCTTGTTGTAAAGGTTTTTACTCACTCACCTGTAAACACACACACACACACACACACACACCCACACACACACCCACACACACACACACACACACACACACACACACACACACACACACACACACACACACACACACACACGAAGCCATGGAGTCAGAGCTGCTGTGCAAAGTGTTTGCCATCTGGAGCTGCTTGGGGTTCAAACAAACTGCTGTTGTGAGGAAATGAAGGTTCTTCTATTCCCAGCTGTTGTTCCTGCATCTTAAATGAGGCAAAATGTGAAGATTGTCGATGTTTTCATGAAGGTCACAGAGAAAAGAAACAGATATTAAACATCAACATGCTGGATGGAATCTGATCGAGACTGCAAAACAGACTGTCTGTCCGTCTGTCTGTCCGTCTGTCTGTTTGTCTGTCTGTCCGTTTGTCTGTCTGTCTGTCTGTCCGTCCGTCCGTCTGTCTGTCTGTCTGCCTACTGACACTCATTGCAGCAAATCTGCAACAGAATGGCTGAAAAGCAAATGAATCAAGTTGTTGCTTTGGTCTAGTCAAAGCCCAGACCTCGGTGTGACAGAAACGGTGTGGAGGGAAGCAGAAGTGACTGATCCATCGGTCTGGTGTGATGACTGTTGGTTGGTTGTGTGCCGCTGAACTGGATAAACCTACAGCAGTAAATCTTCTGTTTGATTCGAACAAATTCAGGAGGAAAACAGAAACTGAACGTAAAAAACTGTTTTCTCAGCCCTGCTGCTCCAAACTCCCATGACAGTTTGGAGGGAAGCTACCTCATTTATTTGTTACATTTATTCTGTTTACTCAGCAACCGTAGCATCAGATCTCATAGTCAAATTTATTGAAATGTCCCCCAGCGCTCTTCCACTCGGTTTTTTATGCAGTGAGTCGCAGAGAACAGACCAGCTTTAAGTCAACGTGTTTCTGTTTTCTATCAGTTTTTACAGATTTTGCTGTTTGTAAAAGTGGAACTGAATTATTTTCTATCATCTGAAACTCTCCGTGTGTCAGACCTCTGAAGGCTCTTTGGTTTCCTGTTCAGGCGGGAAGCCTCCGGCGGACCGGACCGTGGTTCTGGAGGAGTACCGCCTCTTGTCTCAGAAGCTGTTTTGCGGCGGTGTCCGTCTTCGCCGGCCTCGGCATCCTGCTCGGCATCGTCTGTCTGACCTTCAACATCTACAACGGCAACGTGCGGTGAGTTCACACAGCAACACGTCCGTCCTGATAAAACTGAAATATTCATTGGAACAATATTCCTTTCTCCTCTTATCATTTTTTATTTAACGTCGTTCTGTTTGCATCGCTGACGGGTTCGCAGGAAGTCCGGATGATTTTCCCCTCACAGACTTATGACAGTAAAAATGCATTTGAAGAAAATAAGGCTGATTCAAAACCAAACAATGTTTTTATTTTCCTTTGCAGTCAGCCTCACTTTTGTTTTCTGAAAACAAAAACTAAAAGTTTCATCGTCTCTGGTGAAATTTGCTTCTTTGCTTGGTTTGTTGAAGATAGACTGACTGTTGGACCAAAACCAAACATTAACGTCTCATTTAATCACCAAATGTTAATTTATAAATAATGCACATAGATGCATTAAAAATAAAAGACTATAGTTTATTAGTAAATGAAAACATCCTGGACAGAGGAACTAGTCACCAATCTGCCTTCAGGTCTGGAAAATCTCATGTTTCCTGCAGCAAAACTTTCCATGAAGTTAATATAAATAATCAAATAAAACTGAATCCTTTAAAATGGAATTAAAATCTTAAAACATTGGTGAAAAGTAATGTTATGCTTAAAAAATGTAAGAAATGAAGTTTTTATCTCTGCACTTACTGGTTTTTAACAACATTTATCTGATGCGAAACGAGCCCAAACAATCATGCCGCCTCCACCGTGCTTCACCACTGATGTGAAGCGTTTCTGCTTTCCTTCCCACATGCAGACGGGTGTAGAGCATTAGAATAAGAAGAACAGTAGAATAATGACCAGGAACCTGCCTGTTTTTGGTTCAGTCATGTTTGTAAGTGGAGGTGAGCAGAGCAGAGTTCGTACGTGAAGCTTTGCTTCGATAGTGCAGAGGTGAAAGCGGGAGGACTGCTGATGTCTCCAACACACCTGGAGTCTTCTAATCATTCCCAGCATTCCCTCCTTAAGTGTCAATAATCATTTTTTGGATTTGAATCAGAACAAGAATACATTTTTCCTCTTTTGAAGTCGGGCAGAGATTTCTCTGGTGTTGCTGCAGGTTTTGTTGTCGCAGCTTAAGCTCAGCCCAGGACCAAATGCAAATAGAGCTGCTTTAAAATAAATATCTTTTGCACTGGGATTTGCAATGTTATTACACGTCTGAGCAGACAGGTTTTTTAAGGTGGTATTTGTATGTTTAACTGAGTCAAAGTGATTTTAAGTCCCTTAAGTCTGGAGCTTAGCGAAGCCTTTGGTGGAGCTGGAGAGGTTTGTTCCTCGGGGAATCTGCGCCCGGCTCCTGCGTGCCGTTCAGACCCCTCTTCCAGCTTTGATTACATTTCAAACACAGTTTCACCCAGCGCTGCTCTCATCTGCCAAACAGTGTGAGTCAGATCAAACTAAATATATTCACTAAGCTGTTTTCTGGTAGAGGGCAGAAACAGAATCGATCAGTTTTAGGAGCAAGAAAAACAGCCAGGCGAGACGGAAGAGCCTGACCTCTGACCTCTGCAGGCCTGCAGCAACGTACAGGAAGAGACATGAACTGGAGTAGATTCAGAAAACAGATCCTCCGTCCTGGTTCTGCTCCGGTTCTGGGACCCAGACGGTGCGGCTGGTTCTGAGTCTTCTCCTCATACTCATGGCCTCTTTGGGAGAAGCTGAAACCAGAAATAAAATACTAATTAAATGCAACAATTACAGAAACATAAACAAATAGAAACTCTATGAATGTCTGAGAGCCAATATAAAACATTGGACTTTCTATTGTAACAGTTCAAATACAGTTGAATATAAATCACAAAAATTACATTTTCTATCTTTCTAAAAAGCTCATTTCTTCACATGTTTGAGTTTTAAGTCCTTTAACGTAAATTCAGTTTTGAACATACTTAAAGCTTCTGTATTAAAATAGTTATTTAGTTGGTCTAATGTAATGGAACATAAATGTAATATTTGAAACGGAGCAGTCTCTGTTTTCTTTGTCTCTGGTTCTGGACAAACCAGACGTCAGGGATGGAACTCAAACTCCAGCAGCCTTGCAGATCACATTTTTTCCTTCCACTCAACTTTTCATTAACACACATCAATGCTTTGGGCCTGCTGTTGAACATTTCTCTGATTTATTATCTGTAAGCCGTAAAGATCAAAATGAACAGAAGCAAAAGCTTGAAATAAATTACAGCTGTGATGCTCCTGTCCGATACCAGACTCCCGTTTTGATCCATCTTTCTGCTGCTATTTGGATTTTACTGCAGTTCTCCTGCATTGACTTTCCGTTTATCTCTATTCAACCACAATCTGTCAGAATAAACAGAAAGCCTGTGTTTATTTCCAACAAGAAATGAAAACATCATGATGATGTTTACAGAGTGTTGCAGCATATTAACCTTTTCAGGTCAGAGGAAAAATCAGCTTCAATTATTTCATGATTTACAGGAAAATGGCAAAACAAACAGGAAATTGACCTTTACATGTTTATAGATTTTAACAGCAGTTTATTTTTACATTTAAACCGACTAAACCTGCAGAACTGAATCCAGTTCCCTTATACAAATATAATCATTTCCTGGATGAATTATAATTAAAGATGCAGGACAGAGGATTAGGTGATCAGAAAACCGACAGCGTTTAAAGTTTTAGACATATTAAAAGGTTGGATTAAGGTCAGTGTTCATTAGTAAATGTGTTTATATGCTGATGTGTGTTTGCTGCGGTGTAAATACGCGGCGCGGCCTCGGGGCGTGAGGGCAGGAGTCTGAGCTGCAGAGCAAATCCTCTGCAGTTCGAT